GGGGATTAGTCCCTGCGGCTACGGAGTGCTTGGGGTCCCCAGGAATAATTCTGAGGGGGCCCTGATCCCACCACTCAGAGAGCTGCCGATGCAGGTTCTCCTGCAACGGAGGCCAAGGGTGGGAGAGCCAGAACCGGGCGCTGATCGTGGTCTCTCCTCCCGCACCCACGTTGGTTGGCCTTAACGTTGTACGCTGCCCAGAGTCACTTTGCGTGAGATGGGCGGCTGTTATAAGTACGATAAATAAGTAAATGAAAATGAAATAACGTAGTGCGCGGGAGCAAACCTAGTCAGAACCAAAACAGGCGGGCCGACAAGCCTCGCCAGCTACGTGAAAGAGCACCCTCACCAGGCAAAACTCGGCGTGGAAAAGGCTCTGCCAGTGTAAACCGATACACCTCCCGTGTTCGATCAGGAAGCTGCCTGAAAAAACGGCAGCCGCAAAACTGGCCCTTCCAGCCCTCCCACAGGCCTAACTCCTGGCCCCCTGAAGGACCCATCTGGAGCCCTGGAACGGGTTTGCCCCTTTCTCTCCAGGCCCCTTTCTGCCCTCCTGGCCCGGCCTCTCGCCCTGGGATCTCCAGCTGGCCTCCCATCCAGGTCCTGACAGGCCCAGGCCCCCTTATCTTCTTTCATGTCAGCCAAGGCCGGCCAGATGTTGCCACAGCCGTCCTATTCCCAGCCCAGCGAGGGCCCGGGCAGCTGGACGCCTTCATCTCGCCCTCCCACATGGGGAGGGGAAACGGGGGCCGGGCCTTCGGGCTCCCTGCACGGGCTTGTGGGACGCAAAGAACCCTTTCAGATCTAAGGAGCCGGACCAAAATGCCTACAAAGCAGAATTACTGGAGGAGACAGGAAAAAAGGACAAAGCTGGAATTGTTGAGGCCGAAAGAAGCAGAGCCAAGACCCTGCAGGCCAACGTTGCAGGTCGTCCCCCTTTCCTCTGCCCCACGTAGCATGGCTCTCAGCTGCCCCACATTACGCTTGCTCCTTTTAGCTCCGACCTGCCCCACGGCCAAGCCCCCCATGCACCCCCCGGGAACTTACAGGCTCGAAGACAGCCGGTTCGCCTTTCTCTCCCTTCAAGCCTCGGGCTCCGCGCATTGCCTGCGGGTGGCACACATGTAAGCACAAGAAGGAGACTGTCAGTATAACGGTGCGCACACGCCACGTGCACACGCTGAGAGAGGGAGGCCCGAGGGCCCCGGCCACGGTCCCCAGGCGCAGAGAGCCGTACCAGCGGCAAAGAGGGGCCATGGGCTGCACCAGCAGGAGAAAGGATGCCCACCGTGATTCTGCCCCTCCTGGCTGCTGCAAAAGGTAGCGCTAAAAACGGGCTCAGTTGACCAGGATTTGGGCTGCGGCTGGACACCAGGCAGGAACAGGTTTCCTGGGCTCTCTTTGCTAGTGGGGCTTAAACCGACACCGGATGGTGGGTCCTGTCCCCGGCGGGGGTCTGGACTACGCGGTCTCCAGGGCCCTTCCAGCCCTTGCTCCTGGGGTTCTCAGTAAGGAGCGAGGTGCGTAACCTGCAGCTTACTTAAGCTTAAATTTAGGCTTTTTATTTTAACCCCACCCGTTTGGGGAACACCAGTAGGGCGCCCCGACTGCACCCATCTGACCCCAGGGGAAGGAATGCGGGCCTCGCAAAACGTTCGTTCGGACGGCTCCCCGGGGCTGCCAAGGCTGGGAATAGCTACAGACGGCTGCCCGTTGACCCGAAGCACTGAAATCCATCAGCGAGTCGCTCTCGCGCATACGCACAGCGACAGGTATCGCTACGCGCATACAGGCGTGTGGGCTTCCCATAACGAAATCAGCTGGACCGAACAGGCCTGCCAAGCAGGCGCGTTCAGGACTCTTGCTAACGGACAGTTAACGTTTGCTTAAATATAAAGAAGAAACACCGAGCACGAATCAGGAGGAGTTGGGCAACGCCTTTTCCGGCTGCCCATTTTTATTGCAGCTCGCAAAAGCTTCTGCCTTGGAATAAAAATGGTGTTTTTAATTGTAGAATGTTTTTTTAACTGTTGGCTTTTGTGATTTGTTTTCTATTGTACACTGCCCAGAGTCACTTTCTGTGAGTTATATAAACATGACATATAAATAAATAGTCGGAAGAGGTGCTACCAAACTCCTTCTGATGTCCTGTTACCGTAGACTCTCCTCTTACAGTTAATTAGCAATTAAAATGTGAAGGGAGATCTCTGCAGCATCATGACAAAATTGTAGTGCGTTTTGCGTTTCTTAAAAAAGATTTCGCATTTGTTAAAAAAGGACTGAAGTTCAAACAGGAGCACAGAACAAAAAGATGTTTGTCAACAGAGATGTGAGCATAACTGGGAAGAGGAAAAGGAAAAATGGTAGCTAGGAATTTCCAGCTTGAGTAAAGCCAGCAAAGAAAAATTCAGTTACTCAAGGCGGGTATTTCTCAAACACGGCCACTTTAAGATGTGTGGACTTCAACTCCCAGAATTCTCCAGCCAGCCACGCTGGGAATTCTGGGAGCTGAAGTCCACACATCTTAAAGGGGCCAAGTTTGAAATGCTCTTTTATTTGCTTTTAAGAACACGGGCCTGGGTAGTTTCTGTTTCTAGCCAGAAAGACTTCTTGGAAACTTTCCACCTTCCGTTTTACCTGCCTTGAGTCTATTTTGAATTAAAAACCACCCAGAATACCCAGGATGGCTCAGATTTTAAAGAGAAGATATTTGGAACCATGCCCTGTTGAGGAAAAAACACTCTGAAAATGTTCTCCAAAGGCTCCGGATTGCGGGGGGGAGAAGGAATGGGGCTGCCCTCCAGGATGGCAGCCAGAGTGTCAATTATTGTGTGCTAATCGGGGGTGGGCGGGCAACGCCTTTCCCAGTACAGCAGAAATTGGGACTGGGAAAATTGCCGTACCGGGAAAAAGGGCTGTTTGCATTTCCATGCAAACCAGCTTCATGGTTAGAAAGATCAAGGCATAAGGAAAGGCCGGTCACACCCTAATAGAAAATGATGCCATCAAAAACACGACAGGACAGATGGGGCACCCATAGGAAATGACATCATCCAAAAAGTGATGCAACAGGTCATACGAAATGACATCATCAAAGGGTGATGTCTCAGGACACAACAGGGAGGAGAAACACCTGACCAAGCCGTTGAAGACATGCGAATGAAGAACGCAGGAACAAGCGCACGGCAGAAGCGTGCCCGGACCGCCGGAGCGGGCAGCCGGGCAGAGGTTGAACAGGATGGTGAAGCTCAGGGGGGCTCAGAGCAAGGGGGAAGTGGGCAGAGGGAAGGAGGCGCTGCTGCCCCCTGGTGGCGAGGGGTGGGAAAGGCGGGAGGAAGCGCTGGGGCCAACCAGGGAGCGACACAAAACCCGACAAAGGAAATCCGCAGCCAGGACAGGAACAAGGCGCCATGCAGGAAATGCACCGCCACAGGACTGCCACAGCAACAAACGTTTTAGCGAAAGACCCGCAAAAGAAGGGCCTTTAGAAACCCCGGAAGCCAGCCAGCCAGCAGCCCAGCCATCAGGGCACCACAGAGGGGCAGTCAGCAACGGGCAATGGACCGACTGCCAGGACACGGAGGCGACACGGGACACGGGGGTGGCTCCCCACTTACAACTTCGCCGTACGGGGTCTGGGCTGAACGCACGGGGCCCATCTCGCTGGGGTTCGGATCGACGTATCCGTGGTCCAGACCCACGCCTGGCACGCCCTCCTCCATGAACACCTCCTCCTCGGTCGCCTGCAGGCCGGGTGCCTCCTCCTGGCCCGGGCAGGGCGGGAACCCAGCGAGACATTAGCCGAGGAAAAGGAGCGTGTCTGCCACCAGTGCCCCACGGCAGCTGAGCCCTCTGCCAGGCAAGGGTCCCGGCTCTATCCAGTCTCCCGCCTCCTCCTGGGGACCCAGCGACTCCCCTGGCCCCACCGGTGGCCGCTGCCCCGTCCCTGCTCATGGCCAGCCCCGAACAGGGGCCTCAAGGGATACCCCCTGCCCTACTCCTCCTGCCCCTTGGGCCGAGCTCCTCCGCACCAGCATGCCGAGACCCTGGGAAAGGGGCATTTACCTCCGCCCGTGGTGACAAGGGAACAGGAGGCGAGGCCTCCCCTGGGGGGACCCTCTTCCGGGAAGCAGCCTCAGGCGGCGGGGTATGGCCGGGGTGTTCATGAGTCCCTCGGGGCTGCTCGGTGGAAAGAGGACCCACGTCCTTGGAAGGGAAGGAGGGGCACCCACCAATGGAGATAAAATCGGGGTGGGTGGATGGGTGAGAAACGAAGGAGCGGGAAAGAATTAAGGAGGAAAAAAGCGAAAGAGACAGGTGAGCATCGGTTGGTTAGTACAAACGTCCCCATTGGGACTCCGGGGCCCAATTCTACAACCCAGATCATTTAAGCCCTAAGGAATAAATTGATCAGGGAAGCAGGCTTTCACTCACACACCCGGCTGGAGCAGGAAGCCAGCTGTTTGGGGGCAGATCAGGGCCCAGTGGAGGGAGGGGATTCAAGAAAAATGCAGCCACAGCTGGATGGGGTCTGGAGCAGCTGGGATTCCCCCTCCAAGGCAGCCCAAGGGGGGTGGAGCTCTTGCTCAGGACCCCCCACAGGGAAATGGCTGCCCACTCCCCCCCCCCCCCCAATCCCAGCCCTACCTGCTGGTAGCTGCTTCTCGGGCCCCGGGCTGCACCAGAACCGGCGTGTGCCTGGCCCCCGGCCTTTTTCAGCGCAGAGCCCTTGCCACCCGACGTTGGCTTGGCACTGGAGCTGCTCCTGCTGGGGGGCTTCCCGCCACCAGAGTCCTTCCCGCTGCCGAGTGCTTTCCCACTGCGGGGGCTCTTGGGACCGCCAGGATGCCTCCCCTCCGGGGCTCCGGCCTGAACAGCGGCAAGTGACGTGCTGGGCAGCTGGCGCTTCTGGGGCTGCTTTGGCCTGGCGCTGGTGAGGGGCTTTGCCTTGGCTGGCGTCTAGCAGGGGAGACCACAAAGGCAGCAGTGGAGACACAGCGCTGGAGCCAGTGCCAGTCCAGCAGGGCAGACCCACGCCACGCCCACAGCCAAGCGGGAGACAGCTGGCCGCCCCGAGTCTCCAGCAAGGGCTTGTCCAAGCGAGGGCTGAGCGTCAACTCGCAAACGGGTGCCATCGTGTGGCTTGGCCAACAGCCCCCAGGACAACCAGCCACCCCTTTCTGGCGGAAGAGCAAGTCTTCTCGCTGTTTGGGGGGAGCTTACCATGCCCCTCCCCGACGGGACAAAGACGTGCTCAACAGCTCCTCAGAAGGGCCTAAGCGTGTGTGGAGGCCACCTGGACCCCCAGCTCGGAAGCCCCTTTAGCGGGCAAATGGGCCGTATTCATAGATAACCTAAACCTGCGCACGAGAAGTGGAGGGGCCGACTGGACAGCCCACCTCCCCAGAAAGGGAAGGTCAGGGATGGTCAGAAATTCTCCAGCCCCTCTGGGTCCAGCAACAGCGGGGCAATCCTCCGCCTCCTTTGAGGCGCTCAAGGACAAGGGTCGTGGATCTGACTTCCCGCAGCCTGGAGGACCCTGCCCGGTTCCCGAGGGCCGAGGGGCCCCAACTCTTCCCAGATACCTTTGCCAGACCACAGCTAGTTCAGCACAGCCAAAGCCCAACTGGCAGATGCTGCCATCAACGCCCTTCAAACGGTCCCCTGCCCCATCCCTTGCGCCCTTAACTGGGCCACCGGACCACAAGCCACGGATGCAGGAAAGGCAGAAAAACGACTACATCTTGCCACTCTGACGGTCCCAAAGAGGGGCCTTGGCCAGTTTTGCTCCTGGCCGTTCACAGCAGCATCTCTTCTGCCGCCTCATCCCCCGGAGCTCCTCTGACAACCGGGGACCCTCCGGGACCTACGTGCCAGGAGGGGCCCCCGGCACACTCCAGTCCGAGGCCTCCGCCACCCTCTTGCCCAGGCCTCAGGCAAACCACGCACCAGATCCTCGGGGGCCCGGCCAGCCGCCCTCTGAAACTCGGCAGCGCCCATCAGGCCCCTGGGCTGGACCAATCAAACAGGTCCTCCCCCACCCCACCCTCCCGACAGCCGCAGAAAGCTCCAAGGCTGGCAGGGAATGGTCTGCCTGCACAAGGGAATGAGGACAGCCTCCCCCCCCTTCCAGAGGCCATCACCACTGCCCCGAGACACAGGCGTGGCCGCTCCCTCTTGCGAGTCAGCCTGGATCATGCCCGTGAACTCCCGGCCCATCTCCAGCCAGGGTTAAAATCCCCCAGGACCCCACACCTGGGAAAGTTAAAAAGCGGGCAGAAGTTTGTGGACCTTTTGGGCCCTGCCCCTCCCCAGGGCCCCAGAGGGGAGCCCATCGCATTCCAGGCCGTAACTCTTCAGGCTCTCCCTGCATCCAGAGAGTCTAATGGCTAAGGAAGAACTAACAGGCTTTTAAGGAACAGGAAAACCGAATGTGATGGAAAAGTAATAAGGCTGCAAACTCTCCCCCCTCCCCCGCCCTTTTCCACCCCTCCCCCTTGCCTCTCCTGCAGCAAACTCTGCCCCTCGTGCCCCTCTGCCAATTCTTGCCCCCCCCTCGCACATGTAAAGCAGGACCAGCCCCAGCCTCTGGCATGGCCCAAGGATGACCACATTGTGCTGCAGAAAGAGCCCTCTTAACGCCGAGAACAGTCCCTAGCCTGCCTAAGGGTTTGTCCAGGGGCAGCCCCAGTGCGGAGACCTTCGTTGACCAGGTGAGAAACCAGCCGCAGGAATCCCCTTCCCATTAAGCCCTCCGTCACGGTCCTTCTGCTCAGCGTCGTGCTCCTTTCTTACAGGCTTGGGGGGCAAGCACAGAAAACAGCTAAACTGAGAAACTGGTGTGGGAACCCAGACCTCTCTCTGACTTTCTCCAGGCAAGAGAAAATTCAGTTAGGCCTACTTCTGAGCAACCGCGTAGACGGCTGCGAGGGCCAACCATTGGCTTAATCCCGCCTTTTCCAAGTCCTCGGTCCTCCGAGCGTGGGCTGAGGCTCTTTCTGGACAGCCCCCATGGAGCTTTGCCAGCTAAAAACCTTTGGAGAGATTGAAAGGTGCCCACTCTAGAAAAGGGCCCCTGCTCTTCCCTGACCCAGGAGGGGCCCCCGGCCCTCTCTTCAGACTGCAGTTGCACCTCCCTCTCAAAGCACCAAAGAAGGGGGGAGCCCTGGGGTGGCTGTTCTGAGCCCGGGGGGCGGGGAGGTTCAGTCCCTCAGGAGCATCGTGCTTAGTCCGATTTTAGCGGCCAGGCCGCCTCAGGGTTCATTGAACTTCAAAACGCTCAGCTCTGAGGCTGGCCCCAAAGATGAGAACAATTAACAATGGGAAGGGGGAGATTTAGCCCCACCACCTTTAACGCTGGAAAAAAGATTCATTGCAGTTTCTCATAAAACTTCCAGGAACAAAAATGGGTGATTAACTGTGGAGTCCTGGATGTTCTCTGAGTTTGGTTGTTCACTGGCAGACGTCTCCTCACCTAACTGGGAAACATCGCCAGTGTGAGTAATTACGCGCGGGGTTCAATCCCTCTTTCTATGCAGTGGGGTCCCCCGCCAGTTTCGGTGGGGGGGTGCAGCTTCCTTCTTGGTGGTCCCTTGATTAGGGTGTTGTTTTAGCCTCTGAGAAGACTCAGTTATGTGATGTTTACTCAGCGAGTTGAAAAAGACGAATTGTAAAAGACAAAAAGGCAAATATCATTACCCCCCCC